TTTATAAAAGTTAAGAGTCAGCCACGCCTACCTAAAACGGCTCGTTCTAACACGCCCCCACATGTCTACGTCACTGTGTGGGAAGATTTGCATAACGCCGCCCAAATGTTCACGCAAAGAAAGAAGGCGTAACTTTTATTCTCGCTGTAGTATTGTTGTTGCTGCCACCATGTCGTGAAGGCACTGTGTGATTCGTTGTGAAAGCAAAACTACTTTGTTTGGTCTTCCAAAAGAGGACGATATCGCTTCGTCATGCCTAGAGCTGATCTGTGCTGGTCGCTGAGGAAATACAACAACTTCGCGCTGTCAATCGCTGGATCAGCTTTCACCGTGGACGAAGCGGAGTGCAGCCCTGGGTTGTCACATGTGGTTGCCGCAGGCATCACAATATGGTAAGGGACATAACATTTCCGTCACACGCTTGAGAAATTCGGCAAATCACAACGCACTGGATAGCAGGCCAATCAGAGCACACTTCGCTTTTTCAGACCGATAAGCTTTGTAAAAATCGACGTGTTTCAGAAAGGCGGGGCATAGAGGAGAAACAATAATGTACAGTATGTGGAAAATAATGTGTTTTTTTAACTTTAAACCGCATAAACACATTTCATTACACCAAAATACACAAAATAATGTTCTTTTTAGCAGCATCATATGACCCTTTAATAATAAATAGAAATGTAATAAATAATAATTGCTACAAATAAAATTACTGTAATGAAAATAATAATGCATACTTTAAATTGTACATATTTGTTTTTTCTAAAGAGTTTTTGAAAAGTATATTTTCAAGCATCATTGCATTAATAATAAATCATGAAAAGGAGAGACTCACTCTCACCTGATGGAATTTCTGCACAATTTGCTCAATCAACACAAAGGTTAATAATGTTAAAGTTCTCCATTCACCCAAAACTCTGGCTTCTGTTCATAAGAGAGGGTCATGATCTGTGCCTTAATGGGAATGATCAGAATCCCACAGCTGTAAGTTTAGGGCAGTTCAACCGTCCACTGTCAGGGCACTTATTATAATTTCATTATAGGCAACAGCCATCGTCGATAAACAGTTTGCAGGAAACAAAGACACCTGGATCCATGATGTAATCAAGCTGCACCACATGCGCTAATAAGCCTTTGTATGTTTGTTCTTCAAAGTCCAATAAACAGGATTTTGAATCGTAATGATACATTTAAAAAGCGTAAAACAATTGATTGCAAAATTCGAAAAGTTTTTTCAGCACACAAGACTAAGCAGAAAGTCTCTACAGAGGAAGTAGTGACATTCTAAACCCTGTAAGAAAATCGTGAACTGATCCATGAAGACACACCTGAAGTCAATAATGAGCGAGGGAAACAGGACAAAAGAATAAAAGAACGAAACCGTGATTCATCAAAACAATTTTAGCAAATAAATAACGGAGCAATCTTCGAGCTAATGGAGCCCTTTCACAGCCGAATAACTCAGCACACACACTCCATTAACTAAACTCAATACCAAGATCATTATTATCTGATAGACATACAAAAGAAGCACCCCATAGTCGAGCCTTTCAGTCCACATGGCGATTAATTACTTTAATTAACCCTAATGGTAAATAACAATATATGTGAGTGTATGTCCTGCAGAGCCAGACTCATAACAAAGCAGCATCTCTAAAATGTAAATATTCTGATGATCAATTTTTTTTTTTTTTTTTTTTTTGCTTTCATGCATATATTGCATATATATTTTTTTACTATATTTTATTAAGTAAAAATATAAATAAAAAGTGTAGGACTTCTGATCCTAATCATATCACTCTCTGGACAGTATTGCCTGGATAAGAAGTCAATTATAGAACGATACTGCCATCTATTGGAAATCTGTCTGAATCACCTCTATTTAAATACTGTACTTCAGCTGATAACTGGAACACCAACCAGATTTAAGTTCAAAAATAAAGGTTTCAGTTAAGAGCTCTCCCAGTTTTCATTGGAAACTGCTGTCAAATATGACAAAAAGATTTCAAAGGTGACTTGTTGAGTATAGATAACTCTGGGAGAGTTCATATTTGCTTGTCAAAACGTGGTCATAATAAAAACAAGACCAAAATGGAATATAAAACCTACATTCATTTAGGTGAGCTTAAATCATATATATTAAATATATATATATATATATATATATATATATATATATATATATATATATAATGAAGTGTGAGCTTCTTCATTAAACAAGTTACTGAATGACAAAATGATTGCACTATAAGGCCTTTCACACTCTCATTAATTCCGGTTTATCATCTTCTTAAACCCTGGGTTAAAGAGACTTTTAGCCCTTAGTAAAGCAACTGTGAGTTGGTAGCACCTTTAACCCTGGGTTATGAAAGCTATGGTTCAGAACAGGGCTAGCACTGTTTTTGAGGGGGTAACTGAACTGCAGTGACAAAGGAATGACAATGTTGTACCAGAATGTTACATTGAGAGTTGTTTAGCAACAGAAAACGAATCAAAAACTCAGTACTTGCCTCATTAAATATTCATGCGAGTTGTACAGTTCCAGAAACATTCACATTATTTCAGTTGTTGTTTAGCATCCAAGGGGAAGATGTGAAAAATGTACAATGATGACAAACTGTGTTTAAAGAGATGATGAAGTGACGTGACTAACTATGGTTAATTACTAACCCATGGTATAGCACAGTGGCTCAAAATGCTGCACATTCTGGATGTCTCATCAGCTCCTTAGTAGAGAAATGGGCGAGACACATAAAAAAACATACAAAATAGAGAAGGACATTACAGTTAGATAGTGGAAACATGTCATAAAAATAATTTACAAAAGCCTGGTTTACACAAACTTCAGTAGCTCTAGCTTCAGTTGAAATTTGATTATTGGGCATAATTTATTAACAAGCCCATTTCTGGCACAAAAGAAAATAAGTCATGTTATAGCAAATCATAGTTATGACATTAAAAATAAAAATGATGAGATAAAAAGTCGGTTATTACATAAAAAAGACAAAATCATGACATAAAAGTCATAAATACCTAAATTGGTATTATATAAATTAAATTGGTATAACATAAAATTATTACATAAATTGGTTGAAATTATTACAAAAAAAATTAAATTATGAGATAAATTGAAATTATGAGATGAGTCAAAATCACGACAAAAGTCATCATTATGATAAAAAAAAGCCAAAATTATTAGATAAAAAGTAATAATAATGAAAAAAGTCAAAATCATGACAAAAAGTTGAGATAAAATTAATTATAATATAAAATGTCAAATGATTAGGTAAAAATCATTATTTTGACAAAATTCAACTTTGTTATAATTATTATTTTATCTAATTATAATTATGTCTAATTATTTTTATCTTTATTATTAATAATCATAAAATAATAATGGTTATTAATTTCTACGTATTGTTAATATTAATATCATAATCTCACAATGATCTAATTTATTCTATAGTTATGATTTACCAAAGTATTTTTTTCTTCTTATGAGGCAAAAATGGGCTTCCATATAATTGACCCAAACAGTCGATCATCATTTATAAACATCAGTCAGTTCACAAAAGGGCGGTCATTTCCCACAGTATCCAAGATTACTGCTTTCACCACAGCTGCTACACAATAAAACAAACAATCTGGACACCTCTACACCTCTTCAGACTAGCATCAACAAAAACGTTTTCTCAGGTATGGTTTTCCTTTGGGGTGTAAAAAAGACTACCTCACATCCTCCACGAAACACTGCCATTGAGTTCGATCACAATGATATGTTAAATTCAACACAATTTGTGAATCACGAATCCTACTAAGGCGAAGGCTCATTTATTAATATTCATGAGGTAGACCTCGCCATTGGAAGTTACCCGGCGAAACGTCACGACCTAATTAATATACACGAGCCAAGCTTCGCCATTGGAACATTTGGGAGCGACGTCAGCGCTACGTGATTAAAATTCAAAAGCTAAACTCCGCGAGCTGCGTCAAGTGTAGAGTCAGAAAAGACAGGACAGGACAAAGTTTTGATATGCTCAGATTCGGCATCAGCTCTAGCTAGTCTAAGGTCATTCTATTCTAAAAGTCGTCAAGATATACTGTTTGAAGTACTCCAGTCAGTGACAAGAATAGTAAATCAAGGAAGACAGGTGAAATTTATATGGGTCCCAGGTCATGTAGGGATAAAGGGGAATGAAATGGCAGATAAATTAGCAAAAAGGGCATTAACAAAAGGAAAAATAGAAATGCAAGTAAGTGTTAGCAAAGCAGAAGTTAAAAGTGTAATATGGGAGAGAATAAATCAAAAGTGGCAAGAGAGGTGGGATGGAGAAGGGAAAGGTAGGCACTTATATCAAATCCAAAGGGAAGTTAAACATAAAATTGTTGATAGTGGAAATCGGAGAGAGAAGAAATTGTGTTAACTAGGCTAAGACTGGGACATTGCTTATTAAATAAAACACTTAAATTGATAGGGAAGCATGATACTGGACTGTGTGAGGGTTGCCAGGAAGAGGAGTCAGTAGAGCATGTGGTCTTGAGATGCAACAGGTTTGGAGCACAGAGAGAGGTGATGAGGAATGAGCTAAGGGAGATAGGGGTTCAGGATATTACATTAAAAGGATTATTGAGCACAGAGCATAGGGCACAGACCAGAATTCTTATAAACTTTTTAAGAGTAACTGGGGTTTTTTATAGGATGTGAAGAGTTAAAGGAATAGTGAGGTAGGTAAAGTATTATTATTATTGTTGTTGTTGTTGTTGTTGTTGTTATTATTGTTATTATAAAGCAGGGCAGGGATAAGGTGTGCGTGTGTAGGTATGTATGTGTCGGGATAAAGGTGGGAGAATGGGTGATTTAGTCTGTAAACCTATTTTCTGATCCACACTCCGGAGCAGAAGGTGGCGGTAATGCACCAATACGCTGGATGCCAACCGCCGTAAAAATATAAGAAGAAGAAGAAGAAGTGTAGAGTCACTAATACACCGCTTGAGGGTGCTGTGAGATACAGACAGGGCTATCGCTGTCACTGTGTGACCCCGGCTGAGAGGAGGAGGAGGGTCTTACGCGGAAAACAAGTAGAAAATCTGGCAGAGGCGACAGTGAGCAAGCGGCTAGTAATGGAGAGATACGAGTGAGTGGTTAAAGGGGAGAATCGTGCAGTCGCGGGAGCATGTTGAAATGGACAGAGCCCAGCATGCACCAAGTCTCTGTTAGTAATCTTTCAAATCTGACGCAAAAGGGGTGGACGCAACCCAAGAGCGGAAACAAAGGCGCTTTGGTTTGAACAAAATACATCTGTAAAGAAGGGGGATAATTGGTGAGCAACAATTTCAGTTTTCAGAGGTTTCGTTTTAAAAAGAAACCGCGCATCACACGCAGAGCGACGCTACAGTTCTCTGTTGAACTGATCGATCTGATGTGTGCTGCTGTGTTGCACTTCTGCAACACTGTGCTAAAAGGTTGACGGGAAGCCAGTTTATTATGCACGAAATGTCACATGCCTTGTTAGTGTCCTCTGTGTCTGATCACTGTCTCTATCAACTGTCCCACTAACTTATTGTCTGCGTCGAATTTAGGTTTCCTAGATTTGCAGTACAGTATTTTCTTCTAGTCGAGACAGTCATTCACATGGCCAGCCATGTCCCATGTGACGGCCGATGTGTTAAAGTAAAGCTACATAAACCCAATACTCGGTATAATTCTTATTAGGAAGCTATCACGTCTGATTTTGTAACTACCTTTTATTTTTATTTCTGGTATGTACAATATTGTTGCTTGTTGACAGTTCAGTGAACGTGTATCTTTCCATTTGTCAACTCTTTCATATCCTCCCTCAGTCATCCCTGGTTTAAAAAAAACGACGTAAACCAGTTTGCCATTCTTAGTTGCTGGTTTTAGAGGAGTTTTGGACACTTTTCAGTTAGTCAAGCAGTGAGACCAGCTGGCGCCGATGTGTTAAAGTAAAGCTACATAAACCCAATACTCGGTATAATTCTTATTAGGAAGCTATCACGTCTGATTTTGTAACTACCTTTTATTTTTATTTCTGGTATGTACAATATTGTTGCTTGTTGACAGTTCAGTGAACGTGTATCTTTCCATTTGTCAACTCTTTCATATCCTCCCTCAGTCATCCCTGGTTTAAAAAAAAACGACGTAAACCAGTTTGCCATTCTTAGTTGCTGGTTTTAGAGGAGTTTTGGACACTTTTCAGTTAGTCAAGCAGTGAGACCAGCTGGCTGACCAGCTAAATCAACTGAACACAAGGTTGGACAGGCTGTGAGACCACATAAGTTGGTTTGGTGCTTTTTCAGCTGTAAATGTAATAATCTTTATGATTTTTTTAAATGTTTTTTTGGACTATTGTTTTTATTGACCGCAAGACAGTCAACTGCCTACTGCAAAAGTGCATTGAATGGCCTATTGAAGCAGGTATCTGTTGTATATTTGTAGTGTAATCAGATGTTTTTCAGTAAATGTTTTTGTCCGATAGCCTGAGCTGCCACAGTTTGATTCAGTCCAGTATCACCCAGTAGTGCATAATAAAATGTGTCACATACCATAACATGACTATTAAATATGTAACATAAGGAGAAATACTCCAGCATGTGTCAATAAATAACACTGGTATGCTACTCTTTATTAATGAATAGTTTCATTTGAATTATGTACAAGTTTCACATTTCACATTTAATGAAAACACTGAGACTGTGCTACTCCTGATATCTGAAGGGAGCAGGCTGATGATAAAGTTAGCCTAGCTGCTCATGTAGAGCCTAGTGTTTGTGTTGGAAAAAGAAATCAAGCAAGAAAGACAGAGACAGACACTTTGATGTTTCATTTGAGTGGATAGGAGGTGCATATTTGGACAAAGCTGATTAGAAGTGTTGTTTTGCACCATATGCGTGAAGATGCGCTCAATACAGCTTCCTGTGGAGAATGAGATTGTGTATGTGATTTTTTTTTATGATGGAGGGAGTAAGCAGGATTCATCCCTAATAATGTTTATCCTGCCTTGCTATGCTCATCACATGCTACAGAGATAAGAATGACTTCCCTTTTACTTTTGGGATTCGTTGGTTGGTCTGATCTGTACCACAGAGGCAAAATTATCAAGGAGACAGTGAAATGGAGGTCTTGCATATTAATTTGTCAAGAATAAAAGTACAAGACTGAAACAGATTTTACAGATGACCTGTGCTCTGATAAGGTGTGCAGTACTTGGAGAAAATGCTGATCATGTACTTTCCATTCACCTTTGAACTCTGTTTTTCAAAGGTGAGGTGTATGCATTCTACAAAGACTAAGAATTTGCTTGAATGCAGTGCATTCAATGTTGAATGCAATGTAAGTCGATTTGGATAAAAGTGTCTGCCAAATGCATACAATTCTTTTAATTTGGTGTTCGATAAGATGTGTAATTTAGAGGATTGCACTTCTCTCCGACTTTGCAAAATTCAACTGCTTAATTGTTTATATTGTCGAAAAATGTAAACTATATTATCGCCCGGCTCTAATCTAATACATGCAACTGTGAAGCATGAAGATATTATAAACATTTAACATCATGATTTTCAGTAAAGCTGCTTTGAAACAATTTGTATTGTGAAAAGCACTATACAAATGAAATGGATTAGATTTATTCTCTGCTCAGGATTCAGCATTTCAGTTGCATTTTCTTTATTAAAGGAGTCATCTGCCTGCTAATTAAAGCAGTAGCACTTGTATGTACAGTAGCTCGCTCCCTTTCCCTGAGTCTGTAAATTCATGTAAGTGATAAAGGGAACAGATGTGCATATTTTGTCCTCATTTTTATATGTTAATTTTCCGTCGCCAACACATTTAGTTTTTGACTCATTACATTTAACTGTTGTCTTTCAGGTCCCTCAGTATGAGTCGAGATGGATGGAGAAAGAAAGCCAGTGAAGATGATGGGTGGGGAGGACGGGTAAGAGTCTGTTGTTCTTTATTATGAAATGTGTTTATTATTGAAAGCAGGAAGCCTCAACAGCTGCTTTTTTACAGTTCTCTTTTATACTGTGTTGTCTTTCCAGGCTGCCTCTCTAAACATGGTTCATTTATTATTTTTGCTGTAATTTTAACCTCATAACCATTGACCACCAGTCGAACATTCCTCTTCATGTGAGAGCTGGTGGGTGTATGTGTGTTGATGCTGAAGTCTAGACAGGTTTTCATTTGTATTACACCAGTGAGTACTCTATCTCAATTTTCCTCACTAGTGACCAGCACCTCTGCTCTGCCGCCACAGTCCGAGGCTTCGAGCAGAGCAAGATATTTGATAGGCTTCAATCTCCTCGTGTTCCTCAGGCATTAGCAGAACCACACTGGCATAAACAACTCCAAGAGCTTCTAAGTTGTATTTACAACACTGTTCCAGAACACTTCAACCCAAATATTCAGATATGTGCAGCACATTTTATGGAGGACTGTTTCCTGATCCTGGTAGAGTAGACTACAATGCCAGCTCTTCTGAGTCACGGACTGTAAGTAAGTTTTTTATATTTAAAGAGTTTTTATATTTTATATTTTTTATATTTAAAGCGAGTTTTTTGGGCAGTGTAGAGTAGGGCTTGTTGTCATTTTTCCGATCACAAATGCAGACATGGTTTTATGTTTATGAGATGCAACGCAACGTGTAAAAAGACAGTATAAGTCATTATAATCCATAATTATGTCCCCACTGGATGCAACGAATGCCTCGTTTATAATGGGTTTTCATGCTTTTGAATCATTGCTCCAGCCGGGACACGGCATCAACAGTATGGTAAGGGGCGTAACATTTCCGTCACACGCTTGAGGTATTCGGCCAATCATAACGCACTGGATAGCTGGCCAATCACAGCACACCTTTCTTTTCAGAATGATGAGCTTTGTAAAAATCAACGCGTTTCAGAAAGGCGGGGCATAGAGGAAAAACAATAATGTACAGTATGTGGAAAATAATGTTTTTTTTTTTTAGCCATAAACCGCATAAACACATTTCATTACACCAAATACACAAAAATAATGTTCTTTTTAGCAACATCATATGACCCCTTTAACATTATTATTGTTGTTATTTTATTAATTACATTTTTCATTAATAAATATTATTAAAACAATAGTACACCCAAAAATGAAAATTCTGTCATTAAGTACTCACCCTCATGTCGTTCCAAACCCGCAAGACCTTCGTTCATCTCCGGAACACAAATTAAGATATTTCTGATGAAATCCGAGAGCTCTCTGACCCTCCATAGAGAGCAATGTTACTGAAATGTTCCCAGACCCAGAAAAGTAGTAAAGACATCGGTAAAACAGTCCATGTGACATCAGTGGTTCAACTGTAATTTTACAAAGCTGCGAGAATACTAGAATAAAACAAAAATAATGACTTTATTCAGTAATTCTTCTCCTCCAAATCATGTCTTCCGCCATTATTGAGAGTACCTCTGCATGTAAACAACACATGCACGTCGTGGTACTGTCAATGGTGGAATTTGTGATTTTGATGAGAAGAATTATTGAATAAAGTCATTTTGTTTTCTCTGCACATAAAAAGTATTCTCGTAGCTTCGTAAAATTACAATTGAACCACTGATGTCACATAGACTATTTTATTGATGTCCTTACTACGTTTCTGGGTCTAGGAACATGTCAGTTGCTGTCTATGCAGGGTCAGAAAGCTCTTGGATTTCATCAAAAATATCTTTATTTGTGTTCTGAAGATGAACGAATGTCTTGCGGGTTTGGAACGACATGAGGGTGAGTAATTCATGACAGAATTTTCATTTTTGACTGAACAATCAATAATACTCAATAATAACAGTATTATTGTTTATTTGTTTGTATAGACAAGGATGAGCAAAATTTATAGGAAAAATGGGAAACACTTTAGTATAGGGACCAATACTCACTATTAACTAGTTGCTTATTAGCATGCCTATTAATAACATATTGGCTGTTTATTAGTACTTATAAAGCACATATTCTACATCCCTAAGCAGCAAATTAGTAGTTTGTTGAGGCAAAAGTCATAGTTAATGGTTTATTAATAGCGAGAATTGGACCTTAAAATAAAGTGTGACCAAAAAATGAAGTTGAATGATTTGAAAGAAATGTTGCTGGCTGGATTCGAGCCTGTGTTTACCATTTGAGCACTATAGCTGAATGTGTCCGGATGATGAGTACTGTGCTATCTTGTATTGTTTATTTTTTGTATGTAGATCCCAGTGCAGATGAGCTGCGCAGGCTGATGATGCTGCATGGTGGGCAGTTCCATCTCTATTACACTAGCTCCAAAACTACACATATCATTGCCACCAACCTGCCCAACAGCAAAATACAAGAGCTCAAGGGAGAGAAAGTAGTGCGGCCAGAGTGGATCACAGACAGGTGTGTGTTTATGTGTACTTTGCAGGTTATAGAAGCACAATAATATATGCATACTAATTTTTTTTTTTTGCTTTTGTGCAGTATAAAGGTAAAACAGTCCATGTGACATCAGTGGTTCAACTGTAATTTTACAAAGCTGCGAGAATACTAGAATAAAACAAAAATAATGACTTTATTCAGTAATTCTTCTCCTCCAAATCATGTCTTCCGCCATTATTGAGAGTACCTCTGCATGTAAACAACACATGCACGTCGTGGTACTGTCAATGGTGGAATTTGTGATTTTGATGAGAAGAATTATTGAATAAAGTCATTTTGTTTTCTCTGCACATAAAAAGTATTCTCGTAGCTTCGTAAAATTACAATTGAACCACTGATGTCACATAGACTATTTTATTGATGTCCTTACTACGTTTCTGGGTCTGGGAACATGTCAGTTGCTGTCTATGCAGGGTCAGAAAGCTCTTGGATTTCATCAAAAATATCTTTATTTGTGTTCTGAAGATGAACGAATGTCTTGCGGGTTTGGAACGACATGAGGGTGAGTAATTCATGACAGAATTTTCATTTTTGACTGAACAATCAATAATACTCAATAATAACAGTATTATTGTTTATTTGTTTGTATAGACAAGGATGAGCAAAATTTATAGGAAAAATGGGAAACACTTTAGTATAGGGACCAATACTCACTATTAACTAGTTGCTTATTAGCATGCCTATTAATAACATATTGGCTGTTTATTAGTACTTATAAAGCACATATTCTACATCCCTAAGCAGCAAATTAGTAGTTTGTTGAGGCAAAAGTCATAGTTAATGGTTTATTAATAGCGAGAATTGGACCTTAAAATAAAGTGTGACCAAAAAATGAAGTTGAATGATTTGAAAGAAATGTTGCTGGCTGGATTCGAGCCTGTGTTTACCATTTGAGCACTATAGCTGAATGTGTCCGGATGATGAGTACTGTGCTATCTTGTATTGTTTATTTTTTGTATGTAGATCCCAGTGCAGATGAGCTGCGCAGGCTGATGATGCTGCATGGTGGGCAGTTCCATCTCTATTACACTAGCTCCAAAACTACACATATCATTGCCACCAACCTGCCCAACAGCAAAATACAAGAGCTCAAGGGAGAGAAAGTAGTGCGGCCAGAGTGGATCACAGACAGGTGTGTGTTTATGTGTACTTTGCAGGTTATAGAAGCACAATAATATATGCATACTAATTTTTTTTTTTTGCTTTTGTGCAGTATAAAGGCAGGCTGCCAACTTTCATACGTCCAATATCAGCTCTATGCGAAGCAAAAAAGCTTGAACTTTACCAGTATTTGTGCACGAGGAAAGCAGGATCTGTCGTCCACCAATGACCCATTCAAACCCAGTCCAAGCCATCCCCAGTCAGACAGCATCAAGCCTCAGCCCAGCCACACTCAAACCCTCTCTAAAGAAGTTCTCAAATCCACTCACGCTAACCACACAGCCAACTTCACTGAGCGAACCAATCACCAGCTAGATTTCAGACTGTGAGTATGCTTTATAAACCGGGATCCATTGGCACATGTGAGTGTCAAATGCTGCATGTATTTGAAAGAAAGAAAATATTCTGCTGCTTTAAGATCCAAGATAGAACATACACCACAAATTAATTTTTTTATTTTTTGTTAATTGATCATATTGATCATTTTTGGATATAGATTTGATATTAAATTGCAATTTTTCATTCACCCAATATTTACATTTAGATTACATGTGTTGTCATGTAATCTTTAAAAACACAAATAATTAAAAAACACTGTCAAGTGTATTATTTATTATTTATTTTATTTAGACAAAATAGTATAGAATTTTATCAGCCATTTATCAGTTATCTGCTATAACAGGTAAATAACTTTTAAATTTATCGTATTGGCCTGCTGGTCAGATAAGACTGCTCCGACGCGAAGTTTTTACACCCCTTCTGAATACTTAATGGATTAGTTCACTTCCAGAATAAGAATTTCCTGATAATTTACTCACTTCAAAGGGCTCTACTCGATCCCAGCCGATGAATAAGGGTCTTATCTAGTGAAATGATAAAAATAAATAAATATAATGTATATACTTTTTAACCATAAATGCTCGTCTGGAAATCCTGGATAGTTTCCCTCAAAAGCCTTAAATTTATTTTTGACTAAAGAAAGAAAAGCATGAACATCTTTGATGACATGGGATGAGTAAATTATCAAGAAGCTTTTATTCTGGAAGTGAAGTAATCCTTTAAATAAAAACATTTGGGAAATTATTTAATTATGTATCTTTTTGTCCTCTCTCCTTTTGTCTGGCAGAAATGGTTCCTGTAGCATAATCTTTGAGGAGGATGCAGAGAGGCCTAGAGTTAATAGGATTCATGATGGAGATGATGATGACGCCTATGCCCTTTTGCCAAGAGGCTCACAAGACACTTCGTTAACTAATGGTTATGTACACCCTGTGAATGGTGCCTTAAAGCCTCAGGACTCTTTTGCAGAACATTCTCCACTTGTTGTTGACATAGGGTCCCATCAGTCTCACCTCCCACAGACTGAAAGCAGGGATAGGGAGGAGCCCAGCTGCTCTTCAGTTGGGTCAAAATCTAATTCTCATCAGAGGTCCTTAATATCCACTGCCAGTCCTGCAAAGCAGCCTGGTCTTCACAATATGCAAAAGGACCTCCATCCAAAACCAACATCTAATCCAGGAACTTCAGCTGCTCCTCAGAAGGGGAATCTTCACGATCAGACAAGAGTTCGACTAAATGGGAGCTATCACATGACCCCTAACTCCTCCAATCTTGCAGACTCTAGTCATCAGCCAGGAAGGTCGGGCAAAGGAGCAGAGGCTGGAATCATATCAGAGTTCTTTTCTCACTCAAGGCTGCATCATATTTCTACATGGCGAAATGAGTTCTCAGAGTATGTCAATGCCCTTCAGAGCAGGAGGCGAGCTGCAGG